AGCATGAATGACCACCTAGGTTGCTAGGCCAATGTGATCGAATTGAATTGCATCGATAATTTCACACTAATTAGATCGGGGATGATTCCTACAGTCAACAGTCGTTACTACTAGTCGTCACAGAACGATTAGACGTGACGCTGTCGTGCTGGCTAGGGCACGCCGATAGCCTATAGCGACCAATAGAAACCCTAATAATTTATGAAATTGTTTTTGATCGACTAGTCTTACGATTCTAATCCTCCGTACGATTAATATCGCTATTGCATGACAACATAAGCATACAGACACTCATATGCATGTGTGTTTTTTTCCTACGCACTAGTGATAGGTAAAGTGTTACCAAGAGCGATGACATGTTTTGTTGAAGTGACAAAATCCGTCCTAGAGGGTTTTGAGTAGTTTACGTCTGATCGAACAGTCCAGATGGTAAGAAAAGGGTGTTATGAAGTTTGGCACTCATCGTGTCAATGGGCAATAGTGCTACGTTCGCATTGCGCTGTCCATAAAGTATAGGCTTATGGTAATACTATAATGTTGTGACCTTATCGCTTTCAAGGCGAGTGTTGAAACTGAAAGTACTTGTTTAGACGTTTGATTACGTTAGACCAAATGACGTTCTAAGTTGAAACAGCCTATTTAAAGGATGCTTGAGAACTTTGTTATCGATAAAAAAAAAACTATAGTTTTTTTTTTGTTATTCGGCTTTAGTAAAGATAAGGGTCACCATTTAATCAGTGATATATTTTCATCAAATAAACAGTTACGCACGGATGATATACGTATATATAGCGCAAAATGTTCGCTTGCGAGGAAATAGTAATGTTCTCGTAAATATTTTTTTCTGTCTAAATGAAAGCTTATTTTTTTTATTATCACAAAACCGGTAACTACATTTACTATTAAAGATATGATATGTGTTTTTTGTACCTAGCGGCAATATAACTTGCATATTTAGGTATCTGCTGAAGAAACTAGGTCCTTCATTGGAACTCTCTAGTTAGTTATAGAAGAGTGACAGCATAAAATGAACCGTCTCTATTCGTCAGTTTAGTATATCATGCTTATTTCGATGGTTTAACTCTAGAAAATTCTAGATTCTAGACTAGATAGAAAAGACCAGATTAAGTGCGGGTGTACATTTAGCCGGTACCTATTTTCTAGTGTCAATACACGTTTCACTATACCTATGCTGATTGAAAGAAACTGTCGGCCAATTTTCTTGAATTTCGGGATATTTTATTATCGGGAAAGCTCTGTTGGAGGAGCAATATGTATGTTCTTTGGTATAGGTGAAGTGAATCGCTTGTGCAAGTAAGCGAATTGTTCGAAGACTACTACGTAAATAAAGTTCTATAATCAATCAATGCTTTCTGACCCCCCTCATATACAACAAAGTTAGTGGCACAAGTTTTAAGTGAAGTTCCCAATGAACAATATGCTGTAATACACTCGATAAAGTGCCGCGATAAGGACTGTCTTATAAAAGAGGGTTTGATAAAAGAAGAAAGAAAGTGAACTGTACTTAAACATCGATTTGTCCAGGTCTAAGCGGACCGCACTAGCGAAGGATAGACAAGGCAAGGTCCCTAAGGCGTTGAGCCATAGTCCAATTGCAGGCAAATGGAACAAGCGAAAGATCTATTGCCGTCCACTCCCGGCCGATGTTCTGTTACACTTTACTGAAAAACCCTGTCCGTCGATATACGAGCGAATACCGCTTCGGGAGTATCAAACTTGTTGTCACTGTCGATGCGTGTTTTGTCTCTGTTTTCTTGGTTTCCCGAATTCATTTGGTGTCTAATACGAATCAGGTGTGTGTTATACGCCGTGAACTTAGTTATTTAAAATCGCCCCACATGTAGACCAATAACAAGTCAACAATGGTAAAAGTTGGACACAGACACCGCTGTTCTTCACTTAACACCAGATTTTTCGGTAGACTGTCTAAACTGGAAATTTTTATAACCTTTTGTTTTTGCGACTATATACAGAAAAAGACAGATTTGAACGAAATGTAAAGATGCTATTCCTGACGATAATTTTTATTAATTATAACCATCAGTCAGCACAATTGCTTCAGCTTCAATTGAGAATCTGAACCGCTGTTTCAAATGTTCCTTTGCAATTTTGCAAACGTGTTCAACTTTCGCCGAATGACGCTCTAAAAGGCTCAAATCTGAGCTATCGGTCGTTGTATGTGTTTATTTCAGAATATGTTCATATCCTTCTGCATTAGTATCAGCCAGAGCCATGTCATACTGAAACACGCACAACTACTCATGGCTGCACAACAGTTACTGAAATAGGCAGAAAAAATTCTAGTGACATATTCCTCTTTCTAGGAAATGTACAGCGGCATGACATCTGTGTTGGCGGACGCCAGACTCAGACCGTGATTATTGCCACAAGTTTGCTTTCATTCACAGTATATGTATCCTCCTAATCGTGAACATGACAACGATTATTTCTGTGGTTGATTTTTGCATAGATGCTGACTATTCTCTGTCACGAAAATCGTAGAAAAGAACCAACGCACACCACCTACTCGCAGAAAGTATCTGTTTGACTTTTATGAGATATGACGTAAACTCTGCATGGCAAATCTGGAATATGGTTTGCCTGTTCATATCAAATGTCTTCGCTAACGACCTAATCGAAACAAAAAATCGTCAAAAATGGCACCAGTGATTATCTCCGTCGTCGCAGATTTCCCGCCTTGCAGCGGTTGCACCAGCTCTATTTCTTCCGCACACGAATACATGTTTGCGAAGTGGTACATTACCGATTTGGAATAACCTGAAATATTGATTATTCCGTTGACGATCCGTCTAGCGCAAAAACATTGGATAACAGCTTCGACTCTATGAAATTTGGCCCAGTTTGAGCTTGGTGTTTTGTTCTAAAAACAACTAGCTTTTCTTTTTTAGAGTACTTAGAATAATCGGCAGACGTATGCCCGCCACGGTAACTAGCCCGCCAAGGTTTGAATTTCCAGCTAAAGCTCCCACCCCACATTTGCGTATATATGAACGTATAACGTGCTAATACGTGAACCGGATATCATGCGCCATCGGCGTAAAGGGACAACTCACCTTTATAGTTACACTTAGCTTGTAATACGTCAAGTTGAGCAAAGCACGACAATGTTCAAACGTACAATAGAGAATATCTAACCTAGTCATCGAATTTGAATTTATCCGCCCTAAGAGTTTTTTCGGCGATTGCAGTTACTCGTTAGTTTGTTGCCGATTGGTTCTTTTGTTTAGAATTTTACTAGCTGGAGGAAAATCTAAGCTAGCCTGTTGAAGTTAACGAAATCAATAAATTAAAACTATTTCAATAATAATAAAAGAACTTCACATGACTACTAGTCTATTGAGTTCTGCATATATATACCGTGCATGTTTCCCGTAGTATCTTTAATTAACTGTACGGATAGTTGAGTGAAAGTTCGTTTCAAAAAAGGATTTTTCAAAAGTAGCCCAAACCAGTTTACGTTGCCTGTCCTCATGACACTACCAAGCCTCGTTTGAAACTCTCTACGGCTCGTCAAAAGCAAGTTTGCTTATTGAAATAATTGAATTTTAGTGACAAAAAAATAATACACAGCAAAAAAAACTCTAAAACTGTAATTGTACGTGCGTTGACGGAGGCTCGGTATTTTCTGTTGCTAGATTTTGCATGTCGAAAAATACCGTTCGACATTGATATGGTCTAGATAAAGCAGACGAAAAGTATGATTTGCTCTCGATATTGTTCTTAGGTTGCGGTTACATATCGACGTTGAAAAGGTTCCTCTCTGTAGTACTTCAGGCATATTTCAAAGGCGTAACACTTAAAGGTGCGTTTGCCAAAGGCATTCGTTGCTGCGGCGACATCCCAGCACGTTTTGAACATTTGTCGCAGTTATTTGATTAGAAGCAGAACGCTGTTTCATATAAGCTTGTTTTTGGAGGCGTTCGTTTAGAACGATTAATATTTACCACAGAAAAAAGGCTTGCGAAAATGGCTTCACTTATTAGAGTACAGTTTAATGAGATAATTGTGCCGTTTCTTTTGTATGTCCCGTATGTTGCTTTGATAGTAGTGTAACTGGCTTGAAAGATGACAGGCGACTTCGTTTTGCAATTTGAAAATGTCCCATATTACCGAGGCAGAATGCTTCCATAGCTGTCCTAATGTAAGATCATATGCAAACGTATAAGAACGTATAGTACAATCTTTTTTGATATGGCCGCACGTAACGGACAAGCAGTTCGATACTCCAAGTGAAAAAGAATAATGTTAATGTATCAATATTTTTAACCGTCCGACATCTCTGACACGTACATGTTTTCTTTGACCGTGTTGCTAGACTACATCGTGCCTATCACAAGCTTGTAGGGATGCCCAGTTCAAAGAGGCCTGACTTAATGCTCACTACTACTAGAATGAAATCAGCGTGCCATATCTTCATCTGAGCAAAGAACAGCCGTAAACTGGAACAGCGCAGTGTTCGATGAAACGATGACAGCAGAACTATCCATACGACATCAGTCTCGTAATGAAAATGCCTTACGCCACAGCGTCAGGAACTAGTGCCAGTGGCAATGGCAACCGTTCAACACCGAAGTCGACCTGTTTATGAAACTCCGAAAGGCTAGTCATCCGCTACTCCAGTGATTACTATCAATCATTTGTCGGTGATGGAGGTCCTCGACAAGCATTGAACTGATGCGGAAATTATAACAGGAAGCCCTGCAGTGGCTCACTTTCGCAACTAATTCAAAAAGTGCAATCGATGGCGTTTACTTCATCTGGAAAAATGACTAATTATTAAGCATTAGGATCTTCAGAGTATACTGTGAGGATAAATCACATGCCGATTCCTGGTACGGACCCAGAGTCCATGAAGCAAAATCTCAAAACTTGAGTCCGTGAAACTGGGAAGTTCTGCAGAATGTGTTTGCGGGAATGACCCGTTACTTACTGGACTCGAATTATTATTATTATTACAGGTAAGACAGACGCGTCTCAACTAACAGATGATCCATCGGGGAGAGCCACAGCCGTGTACGCGCTCAATGGCGAACAAACCACGATACCGTTCTATCTACATCGCCTTCCCGGAACCGTTGTACGGGTCAAACTCTACCAGCAAAAAGCAAACGTAAGTCCAGGCATATCACAATAGCACTGTTGTGTAATATTCCGTACAATGTAAAACGGTATAACAAAGCACGACCATCCGAAATACTGACACCCCCGACGATCGCCGTACTACTTGACAGCTAGTCGGGTGAAAAAAGAGCCGAATTTAGATACTGATGGGAACGTAATTATATTGAAGCCAAAAATAAAATATAACTGAGCGTTAAAAAGTGTACGACCTTGTAACGTACAAAACGATGGGGCATCAGCGGCAATTTTCAGTGCGTTGGTATATAATAATTTCGATAATGTTCTATGTAGTAAAATAGGGAAGAATAGAAAGAGTCAATTTTAGAAGGCGGTAAAATTACCTAGCATTTAAACGAAAATTAACCATTGCTTGAGATACATGTTCACTCTTCTTATTTTTAAATACGCACTACTATTTAGGCATTAATTTATAACAAATGCTATCACAGAACTCTTTATGTAAGAAATATACTACTTCTCCAATATGGTACCAGATACTCGGAAATTTAATAGTCACTATTCGGGCGTGTCTGAAGGCCGGTAGGTTAACCTTTGTGTGATTCTTATCCAGATTTAACAGAGCAGCCAAATCGTATGCCGCGTTGCAACGTCGGGTGTCACTTTTGACAGTTTTTTGCTTTCGGTGCAGTAAAACGATATCCATTTAGGCACTAAAATAGGTTCATGCAGTTAAATATACATGGCCGCATTCTGAGCAGAAGGTGCTCTGATCAGTAGATTGGAGGGTCGTCCGTACACGTGGCAAACGACGGTTCATAGAAGGGCAAATGGTTAACTATTTGCGTCTAGCTATCTCTAAATGCGCTGGATGGGCGACCCCGTAAGCAATAATGAATAGAATTCCTACTATTGAAAGGGTTTTTAGAAAAATAATCTCGTCACTTATCAGAATGTTGTACGTTGACAAGTTACATAAATCCAAGCTCAGAAATAAGCTGTTTTCCTATTTTAGGCCGATTAAATCACCCATTTTGTGACAACAAACGACGAATAGTCATCGATGGTGAATACGCCTCGTTTCTTTGACATATAGGCCTTTCCGATTTGGACCTAACGTACGACACTTCATCTACTTCTGCTACAGCCACTTCTGCTGGCATCAAGGATAGCTTCTAATTCTATGGGCCGAATTTCACTGCACGCTCGTCTCCAACAGGCACCCAAGTTTTTTTGTTAAGCTAGGGGCTGCACACGCAAGGCTGCGAGGGCCAGTGGCAGAGCTGTGCCGTTCGGAAATTTGACATAGCTCAAATTGTGTGGAAAAGTTTGACAGTCTTTACTGAACGGCTACGTATCATAACCTAAATTAACAGCGTCTACTAATGTAATTGCTCGTATCCAACCGTAGCTATGCTATGAAAGTGTAGCTTAGGCTATGTTAAAAAAAACCTCATAATATTATCGACGTTCCTTTGATCAGAAACTACATTAAACATAGACCTGATGATGAGATTGGTGGCATCTACGTGACCGTACCTAATGCGTTGTATATAGCCTGATAAATTCCTGTATGTAAGCCTTCCTGGTAAAAAAAAACCCTATTACTACTACTACCACCTACATCATGTGAGTTTAGTAAAGAGAAAACAGCTATTGAAATACTAAAGAAGACTGGTATTACCTGAGAGAATATTAGTGTCTTTGGGTAATATGACGTTGTCATCCAAATCTTCAACATGTGCCTGGAGTCTTTCTTTTGTTGAGTATGCTCAACAAGTTCTACTATCTTACTTTTTTTTACTCCATCGAAAGGCATCAAGATAGATAAAGCTAACTTGAGTTTGCCCCTATGAAGGAGCGGAATAATAACAATGTTATTATTTTCGTTAATACTACATAAAATATATAAAACGATTTCTCCTAATAGCCTTAGCAATACACCAGGAGGTATTCTCTATAATATTGTCTATCTTGGAAACCGTAATACAGCATATAAAAGTTCTATATGATATAAAAGCTATTATTCATAGCCTTACTATTTAGACTAGATGTAAGATGTTCACAAAGTTACGGATCCCTTTGGAGACCCCCTTCCAAACTTGTTTCCCTTTGTTCCTTATTTAAATATATGTACTTACTTAGCATAGAACAAAAATTAATCGCGTACAAAATGGCTTGTCGAGAAAGCGTTGACTAATATGGCACAGAGTTGCGTAATTTTTTGCGCATCTTGCAGTTTATTAAATGTTGATCATTTATACGCGTATTTGAAAAGGCGTGAAAAAATGTCCACGTTTCGGTGCGATAATACTCTTGTATTCGCTAGCGGACAAATGGACAATATCCGCTTTGAAAAATGCATAGTCACAGCTGCAAACCACAAAATAATTAGACGCTTTACTCATTTTATACACCCGTTTCACAGTGATCAGCAGGGCCAGGCAGCAACAATTCTATCGTCTCCTACTTCATCCCAAGTATAAAAGGTTCATGTGTTTAAGGGCGTTTATTATAAAATATAAAAAATAGGTTCTTCCCCGGTAAACATGACCAGTCATATTTTATTGGGAAAAAAAGCAGCGTTAGAACGTAGAGCTCGTGAACGTTGCAGGTCTACGTAGAATGTTACTTTATTTGTTCGGCAAGCTGGCCTCCTTTCCTTTTCGGTTGTGTTAGACAGGCTCTTATTACTATTAGTACTACTGCTGCAGCAGTAGTAGTCGTGTTGTCCTGCTGATCCCGATCATGCTTCTCTTGTTTGGCCCTCTTTTGCTACCAGCAATGCCTAAGGCGGTCTCACGCCTTCCGGGTATGGTCACAAAGGTCCAGATCGGCTGGTTTACGAATACTTACTCCTCGAACGAAACGGGTCGGACCCAATACTGCTTGAAAGTTTCTCATGAACCGTTCAACACACCGCCGGATTACTCCATGTATCTCTTCTTCACTCTCTGCTGCCCACCTTGATAAAAATACATCTTAGACATTTTACGGGGGAGGGGGGAGGGGGATTCCATTTTGAGCACAGCAGCGGCGGCCACATAGCATTATCAACATAAATGAAGGGAAAACATCAGGAAAAAAGATACACAGTAGTGACAAGACAGAGATCCAGAGAGCCAACTGGATTGCCTTGTCGTCTTATCATCCTGTCCTCTCATATACGTACTTCGATTCAACCAACTGACAAAGGTTGTTGTTTTCGGGCAAACGAGTAGCAGGGTATGAGGCTTGTGTTTAGAAAACGCAGGCAGCCGTCCAGTCTAGATCTGAAAGACTTGGCCGACTTTTCTATGGAGCGCAGATGGCAAGTTCGAATGACCAAAATAATGAAGAACGAGGAAATAATATTTGAAAATAAAGCGCCCAAAGGGTCATTGGTGCCAATCAAATTATAACCAAGAAAATGCCCGGACTCTGGGTTCGACCTATACTAAAGTATTATATAATATTCCATCTTTTTTTCGAGTTATACTCTATTAGAGACGTTAATGGAGCTACTGTGCCGTGTTTATTATAACCTGATTGTCAGCACGTAATCAAAACGGGAAAATTATATCTATATTGTTATGGATTAGCTTATTATAGTGAATACAATGGCCTAAAGAAACAACCCGCTCAAATACAACCCAAATAGATTCCGAGAGTAAATTATGTACAGTCAGTACAGGCACTGATATTGGGACAAACTTTGCCGATCTGCTTGTTGCGATAGGCATGCATTCGTCTGCTACTCCTAGTAGAAGGCAGTAGCAGACGAATGCCGGTTATTTCTACAACAAAACAACAAACTCGTCGTTGTACACAACAGCGCATTGCTTTCAGAATTGAGATTAACTATTACTTAACCTCCATGCATCGGATGAACCCCCACCTAAACTATAAACTCTTTGCGTCACCCGAAATCGACAGTCTGTCTCGTCGCAAATGGCTACGCGGCTGCAGAAGAAGAAGCAGAAACAGGCTTTGGCATAACGCAACGGTAAATACACGATAGGAAAAAAACAGTGCGGACTCTGGAAGCAATCGTTTTCATCCAAAAGTGCGTTTCTAATGATTTTTCTGTTTCGATCAGAATAGTTATAGGGGAACTTTGTCTGCGTCAATGAACGATGTTACCGATTGTTCACGAAGACTTCAGGAACAGGCCATATGTCGTAGAACTTAAACACATGTTTTGCAAGGACAATAAAATTAAGAGATTCAGCCAATGTTGCTTGCTACTCAGTTTTCTTGAGATCAAAACAGAAGATTGCCTTCAGTTTTTTTTGACGGTCATTTTTAGTATATTTCTTCTAATAATTCAATGTAAGAACAAACCGCAGAAGTGAAACCGTTGGCTTTCTTACGATGCAGAGGATGCCCTTCTTATTGGTGGAATTAAATTTTCGGCCAAAGTTCACGTTCTGAGTGGTTTCCAATGAAAGAGATGTCATGCCACCATAGCTTTTCCATAATGGTGAACTTAGTATCTAACGAGCTTACTTGCATGGCAGAAGCTGATATGTTTAAAGGTAGATTCCCAACAGGAAGGTGCACCGGCTTATACGAGCCGATTAATGTTGGTTCAGCCTGTTGAGAATACAAGCAAGTAACAACACCTCGGAGTGCCACGTATGGGGCAAGTGGCCAACAAGTTTCAACATAACAACGTCGACTCGCTTACCCTTGCTATAAACGAGGCGTTCGCAGATTTGTAAAGGGAACATCTGAAGTAAGCGCATGAACGGTTTAGGACCCGAACTGAAGAGCTGTCACTGCGGTAAGACCGTCAGAAACGACACTTGTAGCGCACGCAAAAACAATTTCTGTTTTTAAGTAAATAAGTATTGATTTCTAAATGAAAGGTGTCTTTATTTAGATACAGCGTTAGAAACAAGGCATAGGAATGAGTCCCAATTTAGGTGCCTTATTTTGTATAACGTCCCTTGATAAAACATTTGGCAACAACAGTGGCTGCAAAAAACGGCTCGACAAAGAACATATATTATGTGTATATTCGCATTTTTTTTCGTTTTTATTGCAACTTAAATTAATCTTGGAAAATGTTTTCTAGGTAATTTTACGCAGATCTTGATATCCTTGAATAGCCTTGGTATGAGTTTCAGCTAATATATAAAAATATGGAATAGTCGTATAGGACGCGTCATTTTTGTGCCTATCAAAGGAGCCCTTCACTGAAATTCGCAGACGTGGCAGATTGTTGTAAAGCACTTTTATATGCTTTCAGTTTCCGTTTATAGTCTTGAGCTAAGAATTGCAATTGTTTGTGTTTATTAAGGAACTCAGCGACTATCATTCTTCGCCGCCTATTATACTATTACTGTTCTTGCCAACATGTTTAAACGCTCCGCAATAAGTTCTTTTTTTTTTTTTAACTATATCGTTCAGCTGTAATCGAATGAATATCGTAAGGACATAGGCTTAAGGACGGTTTAGGGCTACGTTATCACGGAGTTGTGAAGGGAGGCCATTATATTATGAGCAGGTCATATTATGTTGTTCAGTATAAGATAGATAAGAGAAGTATTAATTTTATATTTCGAAATAAAGCTGTTCGACGACCTGACGTGCTGATAATGCGACCTAATTGTCTGTGGAGACTGCAGCGGAGATTCGTAGGCTGTCAGTTTAAAATATTCCAGGTAGCAATTATTGAATTCGAAAATGGAAGACCCATTACCAAGGTGAATAACTGGGAACTGAAGATTGTTATGGAAGCCTACCCGTTTCGATGTGCGTGCATATTAGTATCAAGCTTGGTGCATGTAAAAAGACCATATCTATTCAACTCGATCAACTAACGAAGTAAACACTGACAAACGTGTACCACATGATTCCAGTGGGAATCAAAATAGAGTTGCAGAAATCCTTGCTCCTCGTTATTTTCACATCGCAACAATCTCCCATTCTTTTACCAAATTGTGGAAAATTGTGATAAAGTAAAAAAAAACACCGTATCTTGCAACAATCACAGTTGGTCACTAAGTCAGTAAGTGGATTGCTCTGTAACTTACGAAAATGGCACAATTCCATCTAGGCATTCGCGTAGAAAAAATAGCTGTTGAGAATTCAGCTAATAATTCTCCATGGGATATATTAGTCCCTAATTAGAAACTTACTAGTTAAGTTTGATGGTAAGGGGTGAAGCATAAGTGAAGCACCGTAACTAACCTTCTCAAAAATACGTGGGAACTGCTTCATTTTACATAGACATTTTGTAAGACACTTGTTTACTTCGATCTTCCTACTGCTAGGTCATGCTTTATCAGAGATACCCATTTGCGTTTCGCGTGAAGTCGAAATACGTGATTCTGAATTCTATTAACCGAGTGAATGTAGTTATGAGACCATAGTTAAAATAGATTGAAGATCCATGTAATGGACGTCCTGGTAGAGCTACAACTCTTGATCAGCGCTTCTCAGCCAAACCGAGGTCGTTCCATAGTATCATGGAAGCGTGGCTATGTTGTCTCGCCTCTTTCAACTAATACCCCTTTGTCGATATTATACCCTAGCATAATTCGTATACGGAGGGGGGCTTCTTAACGGGTTCGGTTATCACTTCCTGCTACTTCGTAGACAAGTGGAAGTGGTACAATGGCCTACCACGGAGTGCTTGAGGTCATTATTCCTTTTTGTTGTTTTACAGCATAGATTTTTGCTTTTAATGAGCAAGTAGGTTACGACATGACATGAGAATTATGATCATATTGTAGACAATGTACAAGCGGAGACAATGAGCAGATGGCCGTTTAACTAATTTCGACAGATTACGAAAGTGGTCGTTTGCGAGGAAAGTCAGAAAATTCTTCTATTGATACCAGCTTATAAACGGAATGACTAAGTTTAGACAAGACCAATTAACAACGTTTACTAATTTATCAATTTTAGTAGCTGATGGGCGAATCTTCTTCGATTTGACTCGTTTGCGCTGTCCTGTAAACCGTGGCAATTTCCCATCTATATCCGTCTCACGTCTAGGGTTAAGACACCCTAACTGATATCAGGCAAGAAAGTATATGTGCTGCAAGCCGGAGTTTACTGTGAAGAGGTCGTATTCCACTCTGGTCCTAGCTCCAACTAAGCGTTCCCAGGGGACAATTCTCACGTCCGTCTTGTACCTGTTCTCTTTTTACGCTGACACGATAACGGTCATTTAGTAGTAGATCGGGAGAAGGTTTTGGCTTATGGTGATATTCCAAGGCTCTTAATGGATTGGGAAGGAATTTTGCGACTTGAAGTTACCATACACACATTAATCGATCTGATACTATAAATCGTAAACTAATACTCGATAATTTTAGTAACAAATAGAATTTACTAATACTCTTGCAAATCGAAATAGGACATAAACATACCATGTCGTTTGATTTAAGCGTTTTTGTGTTCAAGATAATCTCGGCACGTGGATTCAAAGCTTAGTGCAGCCATGGGCGCAAAGAACCGCGTTAGCCAATTTTGAAAATTAATGATTCATTACCCACATAATCATAAACTAGTTTATTTATGACTAAGGCTGTTTCTGGTAGAGTTCTATTTAGCAACATTTGTGAGGTGTCCCTATTAGCTTTAGGTAGTCAATACGTAAAAAGATTATTAGACAGCCGCACAGGTTTTGTCCTGTTCTATGTTGATTGATTCAACTAATTTAATTTCTCAACATTGCACCGAACATAATGTAAATCCACGAACAGTTATCCCGTCGTGGGTCTTTCACTCACCTGTTCTTGTATAAGCTGATATGATTCGCATTACACTCGGTTTGTTTTTCCGTATGGCGTTCATAAAAAGCTCGCTCAGAACTACGTTGGACCTCATTTTCACTCTTACGTTACACGAACGGACCGATGCGTTCAAACTTACCGTGTTTCGTCGATATTTAAACACCATATAGAGGTTATATATATATATATACATATAGTTTAAAGAGCACTTTGAAAATTGAAATTTACACATTGCAGTATGATTCAGCTTATCAAGAGCTTTTAATTGATTGGTACATAGGCCTCCTGAAAGATCTTCATCCCAGTGTCACAAAGACAAAACAGTTATAAGATTCAGTTTTTGTCTGTTTCGAACCAAAATATACATTCTGGATATAGGAAGATGTATTCGAGATCTATCGATTGACCTTAAGAAGAGCCTTTAAAATAGCGATATTGTGCATAGGAAAAATGTTTTCCTCACGTTAGTGTTTCTCTTTGATGAAAATATTTTTGAAAAGGAATTGTTTCGTCAAAACGTTCGCTATATTAGCCGCTTCAACCTTCCGTATTATAAGTTCGCTCAAAAAGCTACTCAGAATCTGCTACCCTCAATTTGCATTTCATTGCCAAAAGTTACATTCAGATTTCTGTATCTTTAAGCCGTAATGCCTATCTTAGGTAACGAAACGCGTCCTGCATCTAGAGTTCGCAGACCTATCGATTAGCCTAAGGATTCACTCCTTAAACATAATTTTAGACTTGAAAACTGAGATTTGGCTATAAGTCTATGTATAGCATCCCAATTCAGCTCGGCAAAAGTTTCCAATTAGTGTCCAAAAAAATTCTCCCTACGCAGATTTACATATAAATTTTTGTGTACTTGACTGCCGTTTTATCAGGAGCAAACTCCCGACAACGGTCAGGTTCTCTGACTAACCAATACGTTCTATAGCAAAAATGATGCCTTACTCCATAAAAGAACAGAATCCATGCACTTGGTTCTATCTTACGTGCAGTTTTTCTTCGGAAAAAAACTCTAACGATCTAGAAAAATCAGTGAGTACCACAGTACTACAGGTAAAGCAACAAAAAAAAAACACAGACAAAGTCTTAGATAGATTGGTGGATGCAAATACATAGCGTCGAACAGTAGGTAGATTAATTGCTATAGTAAGTTTCAACTAACAACATTATTTATTATTGTTAATAAACTATTTTTTACGTACTACTACTGCTGGCGATGTTGATGAGTTACGGCACTCCTTTAAAGTACAAGTTTTGTACGGATCGTATTAGTAGTGTGGCAACTTTAATTATATGACTAAATAGATACCTTTGCGTAACAAACTTGTATTGAATTTTAGCGCATGTTTTACGAAATTGACGGATCTCGACGAGCCGATGGGATATTCTCGGTCGGTAGTCACAAGATCGAAAAGGATTGGGCAAGCAGATCGTACCTATCGACGAGTCGTGAACCTGCGTTACTTAAGGTAATCGTCAAGTTTTCAACTATTTCTGTTCGATAGCAGCAAGAAACTTCAGATCTTTCTATGTCTAACGTAGCTGGCACGTGAAATCTCAACTTACTCTACAGTTTGATATGATCTGAAAAAGATCTTAAATAGTATCCTAAACTACAAGAACAAATGGTGCAATAAAAAAATGGGTCAAGTGAAAATTGCCTATATCACTCATCTATAATCTGCTGTAAACAAGCCTCATAATGGGGGTTTAATGTTCAAGGGTTTAATGAATGATATCATTGTTCCCTTCTCTATATATCTTCTTCGATACCTTTTTGGTAAGATGCAGAATGCGATTACTTTGGTTAGTGTGGCCTATTCATATTTAGTCAATGAACAAATCGTGTACCATCTTCCGCTGTAATTTATCCAGACCATTAAGGTTGATCATATATCCTCTGCACAGCATTACTCTGGGAATATATAATCGCCATGTTCTCTATAAGATCCGTACGTGGTTTCTACCATTTTTAGCTACCTCTAACAAGGGCCATCACTGGATCATATTCTAGTCCATCAACATATGCCAATCCATGCGTGCTAACTACACCAGCGAACTCATCAACGTTTGTTTACTAGTGATGTATGTTCTGGCGAGTCATCACGTAATGGTGTCGCTTAGCTATTACCGAAGTCTGCTAATCTCAATGTGCCTGTGCTTGCAGAGTGTGACATCTTGCGACGTCATTTCTCTTGTACGTATTGACGCATAACAGTCGTTTTGTTAAGTAAATAAACAGTTTAATTATGTTCGTGAATGGACCCTCGTCGTCGATAGGAAAGCTAGCAAATAGGAAGATGCTTGCTGCTTACTTTCTTCGGTTTTCATCGGTTATTACCGAAGGCGGATATGGATACAAACATATGGAGCGTGTCTAGAGCAGAAACACTGACAGTCGCACGAGAAAGACCTTTTAAGGTCCCGAGAAAGACGTATGCCGCTTGGCGACAAGGGTATATTATCGCTAGCTGACTTACGCTGAATAGTCACTAAGATTACAAGTTTTACTTCGTTGCTCTCCGCGATCCCAACAACAGCAAACGCGCCTATTTACTTGTTTGCACACATGAGGTACAACTTGCTTGGGATCTCTTTTGTTCGACTTCGCAAAGGCGCAGAAGTTCTATTTTTGCTATTATAATGTAAATAACGACCATAATCGTTTTAGCCGAGGCCGGCCGATGGATTGCATCTCACGTTAGAGATTCAATAGTACGTTTCGTCGCCAGTTCCGTCACTATACACTTGAACGATGCATTTTCTGAATACATCATGTTACACAAATGCCACAGGTCGAAACTGGAATTGAGCAGGGCAAGCCGAGCTCGTCCGTCACATACTGCTGATACATTCCTTGTTTTAACTTCTTTGACAGGCGTACCTCCTCGCCAGGAAAAAAGTTACGCTCTGTAAAACCTCACTGGAACGGCTATATCCATTACTTATGCCAAATGCGTTTACGTCGCCGATTAGAACACAAATCATATGTGTCGGAGAGGCATGTTAGTACGCAGTAGACAGCGATTCACAGTGACTATTCAGACTTTACCTCAGCAGAGCGCGGGTATCCCTCCAGACATCACACCTCATCGAAGACACACTAGTGTGCGACTTGCATTGGAACAAGTCAGTGAGTGTTTGGGTTTGAGCATTGATCCAGTACGACAGGAAGGAATAGAGAGGTTATCAAATTAGATAGCTACTCTAAGTGAATTTGCATCAATAGAATTACACTGCCAGTATACCTTAAGCTTATAAGCATTATCGCTTACCTCTCGTGCCCACAGTGACACGGTAAACCCTGAGATGGGCATTGATTTGTTTTATAGATAACCGTCGTTCTATAGGTGTATTAGCGATGCGATCAGAGGATGACTTGATCGGCGAACGTCTGTGCGCTTTACAGTGGTCGATTAATAGCCCTTCCAGGGGATCAGCCTTGCTGAATCAGGCTTACCCGTATGCCTGACCAAAGGCGTCGTCTATTAAGACAACGTTTGGAATGCGTCGATACTTCTCACTAATAAGTGCAAAAGTGGGCATCTTGAAAGAATGCTATCACGAGGAATTTGCGTCATCAGCAAAACGGTCCCAGTTTTCGTGGCGTACAAAGGCTATGAGACTCGTAGCTGCTTGACCTGTAGCTCTCGAAGTGTGGGGCGTTTGCGGAGATAGACAACAACGAGCATCAAATATTCACGAATCATTTTGTGTTTTGAATTTCATAACTAACCAGGTGGGTCACGTGACACTGCTCGATTCAGACACATATATATGCAACGTTCAGTATGCCGGATCTGAAGAAACGTTCAATGAGACCGTTCGACTGATTGTTATGAGTAAGTTCTTAATGAGTTGACTACGTTACCATATTTTATATGATATAGCAAATTATTAAGAAGAGAATAACATGATTATTGGATAACCTAGCATGATTCTAAGAATGAATGATTTGAAGGGTGCGCGAGCTTTGCGCAGAACAACGCAACGCGTTAGTTAGTATACTTAATTGAATTGGTTTATTGATTGTTGCAAGAGACTCATTTATAACCTGTTTGCAAACGCTAACCGCAATAAAAAGCTGTCTTTTTTTAATGATTCAACACAGTCTTTAGATAGAGATAATTTTTGCATAAGGAGTATTATTGTGAATCAAAGAAAAAGTGTACCATTGAAGACGGAACTGTATAAATGCCCTGGAATGGCAAACTATATGATACAGTTGCATATCATTTAACTTAAATACACTAACTGAATTACCTGTTTCATTTAGACGACATAAGACAAGTAGCTGTTGGCATTTTTTGGTGGTCAACTGGTACAGCCTGCCGTCGAAAACCTATCATTTATAGCAGTAGACGAACATGTTTGAACGTGTTTTGGTGAAAAGGTTAACCTTAACGCTACGGAAGCGTGCCATTTTCAACATCCTACTCTGTTAGCACTTACATTACTAACTTTAAATTAAATTTAGCCCACTTTACAATGAGCAAACCTGATATTGAAAGCAATCTGTCAGCAATAGCCATGCAAAGGGCTAGGTTAGCGACAAAAAACTTGTCAGAATCGCCAACCGATAACTTTTATTTCATCCGATGAGGCTACGTAAGAGGGGCACAAGGGCCATTCACTCCCTCTATAACCCCTGAGTGAATATGCATGCTCTATCGTACTGCAGTCTTATTTTAACGTCGGTAGCCAAAAGTATTTTTGATAGCTCTAACAGCGATAATATGATATAGCTATATTTTCGGTCGAAAAGGCGTACATAAGAAAAGCTATTACCGAATCTGTACTACACGATAAGGGTTAGGACTTTGCGTGTAAATCGCAACTCGGAAAACAGACAAATGGTTATTCTCTGTATTAACGTGTAGAAATTTTACATAAGGGGTTGCTACGATACTCCCATCATCATTCAACACCCGACCGCCTATTCGAGGTAAGAGGCCCTTCATGTGTGGATGACGATTTTAAGCTTCAGTCGTCTTGTGCGACGTGCATCTGACGCGTTTTTATGACGCGTGCTTCGACACTGATTTAGAGTTAGCCACGAAATATAATGGACTGAGATTGTGCCCTTGATTTTCTATAAGACTACGTTTCGCTACGCGGAATTGGGTAATTTTAGTGTGTTTATTTTCTTTCAGTACAAAATACCTAGGCCTCTTACGCCGCTTTTTTAGCCCACAAATGGCTAGTTTTCAAAACGTACAGGCAATATACTTACTGATACAATACTGCTGCTAACGGGTTTAGCTCGTTACACAAAATTATGTAACATCAATTTTTTTCTAAATCGAACAGCCGTTGAGGCTCTGAATATTGCCTTTAAAACAATTTCTGTGTGTCAGGCTCATTCAAAGCTAGCTGATAGGTAAATTCTCAAATGAAACTGTGGCATCGCACAATAATAAAATTAGGCAAATTCCCTGTTCGGGACATCCGAGTGCCCCTAAGACCTCACGCACGCGCTTTAAGCTGCGGTGAAATAAGCGGTCGGCAAGTTTATTATTTGGCAAAGCTCATTAGAGACAAAAAAAGATTGCTGTTGCTCTTATTTATTAGTATCAAGTTTGTGGGCGGGAAGCTGTTCGTGATTTACTTGCATTCATAGTTTATAAAACATCGGGGATCGCTGGAGCGCGAAATTGGAAGCACTAAGGTACTCTTATGACGTACAAGTATTCGCTATTATAACGATGCTATTTTTATGTAACTATGTTGTTTTGCAGTTCGAGCTGCAGCTCCATTGGCGTATGTAAGCAGCTCTGAGCAACAGATGGTGCCATTAATCGACCACCGTCTTGGACCTTTCAATGAGTCGACGAAGGTGACTCTTGTCTGTGAAGTTCTAGGAGGTTAGTTGTGACAATTGGTTAAATGGCTTATTTATTTATTATAATTATGATTCGATTATAATAATCATCGATACGGTATTCTAGTTAAGCCCTTCTTAATATACGGGATATACACCTTCGTCTAATTTTGGGACCTCAACCCGAACTTAGATGTACCAGTTCACCTGCAGTGCCAACATCTATGTAAAGTTAGCCGAATTTCCGTATGTCAATGTTATAGGCCGACAGAATTCGACAATCTTGAATAAAAGATAAACGTATCTCTTTCTTGGTTCATTATAGAACAATACAGTCGCCCCGCCCTATACGAAAGGACTAAAACCAATACCGTACATCACATGCCTGTATCTCCGTGTTCTATAATGTGTGTTATCTTGACAAATGGATGACGCACATTTCCATACTTCCGAATGCAATCAATTTACTTGACATTGTTTCAGCTGTGCATGATTGCAAAAGATGTATCGGAACTGTACACTGTACAGAAATACGCTTACAGCTTAATGGAGTAAATTATAACCTATTACTAACAAGGAAAACAAATCTAGGCATTCACGGCAATATTTTAAAATGATATTTTTTTTATTTATCGAACCGCTCATATCAGGCCAAAGTTGATATAGGGCAATTTTACCCGGCAGCCTCTGGCGTTACCTAGAGGAGCTGCGTCTCTCCTCCGTTATATATATTATGTTTACTTAGGATAAAGGGTACAAAACACTTCGAATGGGGTAACGATCTTAAAATTAATTTTGCAGTTATAAATAATTGTTCCTAAAGAAATGCTGAAGTGCGCTGTTTGCGCTATCATCTGCTCGTGTTTTGACAACGAGACCATTTCTTCAAATCAAAAGTTTGCAGTTTGAAAAAATAGAGCCCCCGCTTACAACGCTGAGGTTAAGCGTGCAACGTTTTGCCCCCACCCCTGTTACGAGAAACCTATGCGTACCATTGCTTTTTGATTGTAAAGAACGCGGAAAGCAATCAGTAAACAATGTCTATATGTTTTATCATAGAAATCGTTATGTTCGTTCGTGTAAGCAGTCTGCTAACCAGGGCGTTTTATCGAAGAAAACATATTTTTTTGAAAATGTCACTATATTATTTCTTTAAAGACTTTGCTAGCGTTGTGTGCTCCGGGGAAATAAAATGCATTTGCCGTACACTGCTTTATTCCTATAGGAGAAAATGCAGCTGAGCGAATCCAAGGAGCGAAATTTTGTAAATCAATATTTTAAGCAAATAATTTGCGAAGCCGGACTTTAACTTAGCTTAAGTTAACAGTTCGACTTAGTATGAATAATGCCTAGAGCGCATGACGATAGCGTTTCTGGCACCCGTATACATAGTGCTTTAGGTACTGGAAATGGATCATTTTTTTTTACCTTACTGTCCCCTCACAATATAATGTATTTGAATCTTTGGACGTTGACTGATCTTTTATATTGATGTTCCACTCATGGTTTAGAAATATGCCAGCCAACTGAGTGACCTCATTGAAGCCTTGTTTAGAACTACAATTTCCACGTTTGACACCACAAAAAATAACACAGAACATCTGATATATACCTGATTGTAAATACCCAGCCTAAGCACAGGATTGTTTAACTATAGACCTTCATACATAAAATAGAAACAGTGCTCAGACGATTATGTATAAATATCGTCACACACCTCCAGAGAACAAGGTACATCAGACAAACCTGAGCTAGCTTACTTAGAACTGAAATTTCCGAATCTGTGAAGAAGACACCTGAAATCTACCAACGTGCATAGTGTTGTCTGTTGCTTTCCTATAGATTAGGAGATTTTGTCTTTAATTTACTTAAATGTACAGTGGATACTGCAAGACAACTCGTCATTATTAGTCTACAGAGTATAGCGTTGATTTTTTTTGCTCACTGATAATAGGGCACAAAACGACCCTGGTTTGTATGTTTCAGCGTTATGTATCTGTAGCCTTTTGATTAGTGCAGTATTACTTTGTGATCCTGGTTGTTGTGAACGGTAGCTCACAGCCTTCAGTTGTCACTCAGCGTTTTCGTATACGAATCTGGGTCCCATAATTCTAAATTCGATCGCAAATCGCATTTAAAGGATCTAACATGACCTACCTAGAGGTAACCTGTTTCGAACTGTGCGCCCGACTGCACCCGTGCTACTTACGATATAACCATCCAACGAGGGAAAATATCTGCAGCGGACCTTGATTCGCTAAGATTGCGGCAAGGAGGCCTGCAAAGTCGCCTAATTATGTTCGCAGGCGACTCTGTCTTCCTGTGGTGAGATATTTAGCCGGCCCTTGGCCAAATTGCTTTTATCGACACTGTATTTGGGCGATGTCATAAGGTGCTACGCTAGACGTTTCCAATGTTTCGTCTTTGAGCGATCGAATTGGCACTTTTAGCAATACGATGTCGGCATCGATCACTTTTAAGCTCGTAATTATTTGTTTATCTTCAGTTTTCAGTAGTCCAATTAGTCGTATAGCCTATGAATGGAAGAAATTAATAGGGTGCCAAATTTACCTGTCCGTAAATACCATTCAAAATGTGAACCTATATTTTTTTCGACGTCTTTTCCAAATACGTGCTAAAATACCATTAGTCAAGAATTGTAATTTCTCGGATAGCAGGACAATGTTCTATTGGAAATTCAATTACTCTGCAGGTGTACCACGTCACCGGGTCTATTGGGTGACAAAGCTGACCCAGAAAACGGAAACAGTTCTGCAGGACATAACGCGTGTGCATCTCCCGCTCGTGATTACCAGGAATTTGTTGCTACACAAATTCGTCTGCGTCTCGGAGGCGATTGATGGTTACGTAGAGAACACCACGGTCATCGTCGATATTAACAGTTAGTTTTTCCGTTGCAAAAAAGAATGCTGGTGGAAATAAGGCGATTGACCCTCTAGATTCCCGTATACGCTGCGAGAATTCTAACCAGGTTCACTAATGCTTCTACTATCATCGTATTTGCAGTTCCTGTGGAAGATGTGACCATTGTGACGAATCCGCGCAACATAAGCGGTGTAGTGGAGAATAAGGAGGCAGAATTTCATTGCCGGGCTGAAGGGTCGCGGCCGCCAACTCGAGCTGTTTGGAGCATCGAGGGCGGGCCGCCACTTGAGCCCTTTTTCTACGAAGAAATTGGACATAACTTATCGTCAACGTTCTCGGGTCAGTTCTATATAGCGCAATGACTTTGTGAAATAATCAAAAAAAAAAAATTAATGTCTACATAATTTTTCTATGCGTTCTTTTAATTTAGCCAAATGTTCAGAGAAAAGTATTTACGGGTACTGTTTATTCTACCGCTATGCAAAACATCATAAATCTCAGTACCTAAGAAAAAGAGGGATACTCTCTTTCTTCTAAGCTATAAGCAAATAGCAGCGTACAATTAACTGTCGCACAAGAAACAACCTCTTTTTACTAAAATGTCTTTATCGGAGCGTCATTTAGATATTGACTTGCATCGAGTAGTCTAGAAACGGCTTATTTGTACACACCAAACGAATTCAACTTAGAGCAAAACACTCCTATTTCAAATAATTTCAGTGCTAATGTTAGCGGGCAAAAAGGTCCTGGATGGCCGCCGGCTTCGCTGTTCGGTAACCCACCCTGTATTCGGAACGATCGTTCGAGAGTATCCACTAAATGTGCTTTGTGAGTAGTGGTGCTTAGCTGCAATGTAATTCCTTGGATATGATCCCTTTGCCGTACGAAATCAAAAACGTTCGCTAAGTCCCTGACTAACAGCCGTCTTTAATTGACATAGCACATCGTCCGGTAATAGATTCTATAGGAAACTGGAGTCCTAACATTTTCCAACTCTAAAATCTTCATTACTTATACTTCTGGCATCTCAAATATAGCACTATGTAAAGGCGCTATTTTTGTCCTACCGACGATATCTATTTTTAGCTATGTTTTTCTATCAATCCCGAAACCTTAGTTCTGCACACAGCTAACGTTACGACTTGATCAGATCCTAAAAGCTGTACCTGTATGTTGACCGAACTTTAATCAAAGGTTAATAGCACGTTTGTACTGTTTCTGTGAATTCTGTTCTCAGATTCGCCCCGAACTCATCTACGGTTAGGTAAAGGGGTGCGAAATCCTCATGATATTCCGGAAGGGAGCGACGTGTACTTCGAATGCGTGGTCGACTCTAAACCTAAACCATCGATGATTTTTTGGTGCGTGCCGTTGTGTCTAACTGGATTTGATGGTTACAAAAAAACTCGCAACAGCGTTACACACCACCGTTAGCATAATGGAACACACTGTTACTGGGCGTACACAGAATGGAATATGTACTGCATTCTTAGAAACGCAATAAAACATGGGTGTTTCGATTTATTATCTGTCGCTGCTATTGCTCTTGCAATGTTGACGGGATATATGAATTGTATGACCAAAAACGGATGTAGCTGACGGAGTCGGTGGACCTTCTACGGCTGGATCACGATGGACATTCACATGCAAATGATTCATCTGCGAACTTTACGCTAATATCACTTCCTCTGTCCCGTATCAAGTAATGTTCTATACAACTGTAATAACCAGCATTAAGTTGAATAAGATCCCGCTGGAGCCGACAGATGGCAGAATCGGCTAATGCTGCTTAATTAGAAGTTCTCAGAATAATTGTCCTGTCTGTTGAACGTAAGCGTTTTCGTTGAGCCGAGGCCATTAAAAGTCATGGTACAGTTCTAGAACAAGAAAAGATGCATATCCGACATTTTTTTTTTTCTTTATTTTTATGCTGGAAAAGTGCTGTCAAAACAAGGAAAATTGTTTGCTAGGTCGAAGGCAAATGTACAACAAGCATTGCCGCTTGCCGGTTTCAAGTAAATTGCGCTAGAACGGAAGATTTCAGCTTGAAGATGGCCACAGGAAGTAAACGACGATGGACCACGGGCACTTCGTAAGCAGACTGAAGGGCTCGACCCAAGAGCTCTTTACACAGTTACAGCTGATTGAGCCAGTAGTTAACTGTTTGCGTGTAGGAGGAAAAATCAAAAACGAAGAAAGCTAAACGCGAACTAACCCGCGCCTCTGAGCCATAAAATATCGACAAAAAAGGTCCTGGACTGCAAAGAGCAGCTAAAAATTGTATGACTACATGACAATGTTACACGGCATACTGCTTTGACAATTCAGGAGCGCCACCGGATCTTTAATGAAAGACATCGCTTCATCTAATTATCATTTGTCTCGGTCAATACGGCATAGTTAAAAAGGTAAACACTTCAAAACAGAGGCTAAAGTGAGCAAATGGGTTACTTATAAGGACGAAGGCTTTGTGTTTCGCAGAAAATATCAGCTACCAGAAAGGTGCGCAAAAGCCGTAGAAAGTAAAGTACGTCGCTTGATATGAAGTAAAGTACAATGCATGATAAACTAAAGCTACTAACTACTTAACTTATTTATACATGAACATTTAATAATTTTCTTTTATTTTGTTTTTCAAACAGATAAGTGCAGCGTTATGGTTAGGAAAGTGACAGAGAAAGGGAAAAGTACTGTAAATATTTATAAGCTATTTGTAATACGTGCAACGCCTGTTTAGACCAGGCCAAGGGGCAAAAGGAAAGCATTCTTGTTCAGCACGAGGAACTTGAAGGAAACGCGATGCCTGACGCTCCCGTGTCAAAGCATAAGTCAGCAAGTACACATAGATGTACATACATATGGGTGAAAGGAGCTCTCGGTCGGAGAAACAGCAGATTTGCTAACATGTCAGACCTATTATAAAGGCCATTGGCTTTGTAGACAGGACAGAACAGGCAAAAAGAACGGCCTTCAATGAATGAAATAGCGAAGGCATGACGGTCGCCTGAAGCCAAAAGAATGGCCTGCCCACCACTGCCAAAGACACCATCACTTCCACGATCAAGGTTCCCTGTATAAATGGTCGGTAGCTAACCACCTTTTTAGCATCCTATCGTCGCATCCCCGGTCGGAGTAAAAACGACAGCAGGTGGTGATATTTCTGCTTCTGCAGCCTACGGCAAGCGTATGTGAAAGCGCTGAAAATGAAACAGGGGCTTGGTGCGCCTATAGAAGAATGACTCTTGCTGAGTGATCGTTCTTTTCGCCTACTTCTTACCTAGGCTCTGGGGTGCCAGGAACCACAGTGGGTTATCTCGTGGACATTCGTTCTAGCCGCTTTTTTTTTGTGTCGTTGGTGGTTTTTTTGTTGTGGCAATATAACAATGTCTTGCTGGCATCCTTCGTATTCTGTTGTTCGTGTTCTACGTATACGTCGTCTCGTTTGCCCTAGGTATCACAACGGTAGACCTATAGAGACGAAGGACATTCCAACTACAACAGCAGGTACCTACCTAATTCTTCAAAGCGTTAACGCCACGCACTCTGGGAACTACGCATGCCTAGCAACCAACCCGGTGGGATCAACAGCTAGTGAAAACGTCAGCATCACAATCAAATGTAAGTAAAAACAATTACAGGTGTCTCGATTTCTAATAACATTATGCAGGATTCAGGAGAACACATTGGAGTAAACAAAAGCAGCGATTTCTTAAATATTATGAAATTCGAAGTCGTTTTCATCTTCAGTATTAAAAGTAAAAATGTTGAAAATTGCGGAAGCGGTATCATATTTGCCATCTATCTAGACGCAATCATCGTTAATGGCGTCTAAAAAGTCAACCTGATCTTAGTTGCTAGCAGATCAACGGTTGTGTACAACATGTCGTATGACTGAACCGTAAATGGGTTCTGCTATCAGACGTGCATCAGGCAATAAAGATTCCGAGTTATTAGGCCTCAGTAGAGTTAGATCTAGACGATTTAGGCTTTGAATCAAATTTTCCTAGGCTAAAATATCTAACATTTCTCCGGGCTTCCCTTGTGAGTACATTGCATAATTGTCGAGGCAGACCAAAGTCATTCCTCCGATTTTAGCACGCGATCGATAGCTATTCCTTATGAGCAAATAAGCAAACGATGAAGCCATATCACTTCGCCACTTAAGCTACCCGCCCAGTTCTTTCAAATGCAATTGGCCGTGCAGCTGAAGCTGAATTCAAATAAAGTGCGAAAATAAAAACGCGCTTATAACTCTAAGGCGTCGAATTAAGGTATCAATATCTCATAACGTGTATATTTTTCTAGAGCTCAGTCGGCTCAGCTAATGCTAGACAACCGCCACATCCTTAGTCCCCACACGGAATTCGTATACATATACATTTTTTAATGAGATTCAGTTTGCAAAAGATGAACGATGTTATTGTTATCTAAATCTTGGTATCTGTTATGTGCCTTCTTTGGACATCGTACGTATGACCGTGTTTCTCGACAGATGCGCCCCGATGTATGGGACTGTGGCACCAAGGCTGGAATGGCTACTCGGCAACAAACGTCACTGTGTTGTGTACGCTTGATTCAAACCCGCGTAATATGAATTTTAATTGGTTTGTGCAAATAGGCCTCAAAAAGGCCGACAAGATCCGCCTACCATTTACCGTCGTCAACGAAACAACGACAAAGGTACAACGACAAATACGAGGACGCATCTCTCTCACCTATGGTTTTACGTTAATTCGAACGTTACGCGACGTTCGATACGTAATACTATTGGATTGAACAGACGCCATCTGCCGTGACCATAGCTCACAAGTTTAATTAGTCATAATACATTATCTTCAGATATATTTTTGCGCTTACTAGGTACGTTTCATTTTCAAAACTTTATACATTGAAGAAACAATTTCTATAAAATATGTTCAGCGGGGCCGCCATACAGAGTTGATTCTTGCCGCTCTAAATATCAGCACGTTTCAGAGTTTCCTGGAAATGAAAATACCATTCGAAGCTGAAAGAAACTAGAAATTGTCAGCGATAATTATTGGTCATTTTATGTATAACGACATATTATAATAAACTGTCATAGCACCACTGCAAACTATATCGCTCTTCAAGAAAACGTTCGCCTGTATTGTTGCAATAGTCGCGAAGATCGTATGAAAGCATAATTGTAAATCTTCTTTACTTTTGCTTCTTTTTATGGTCATAGCAGTAGACAACTAAAGACACTTAAGAGCATATCACAACGGGAAAAAAATTGATTTTAGCAGTAATTAATATTTTACCTTTCAATAAATCAAATCATAATGTTAAACTACAAAATCGTAGTTTAGCGGCTTAGCTAATTGGCCCTCAATAAAAATTATTAAATATAATAATAATAATGCCCATATGGGCATACAGTAAATATGTCGATAACCAGTTACTTCGCGAGCCTTGTGAATTCGACCTCAAGTGTCAAGCATGCATATTATTATGGGTCATTTTTTGAATGAGGCTTCCATGCCATTTTATCTCTTTTCTAAACCTCCTGCAATACATTATAACTAACTAAAAGTTACTACAATTTTTGCTAAAACAAGCTTAATGTTATTTTACTATAATGTTAATTAATGTAAGATACATACAGTTACTTCGATGCTCTCGTACGTATTGAGTGTGCAGACCGTGATCCAGTCGGTAGAACATTATCTTCTAAAACCACCACTCGGAACTATTCAAGCGAACTAAGGTTACCTTCGAAAGAGGAAAATCCAGTTACTTTACGTTTGGCCCTCGTTTGACTCTTAGGGACCTTTCTTTACTTCTCATTCCATTTTCCATTGTGCATATCCCATCTCAAGGGGTACACATGTCCAGTGTCAACTCTAGTGAAACCAGTCAGTTAACTGAAGCTGATAACATTTGATTAAATGATAGGATGATTTTTCCATCTACGCGTGCAATCAATAGGTGCGCCGTACGCCGATCCCCACGGGCCCTATGTACTTAGTTATACATTCGCTTATACGTGTAATAGTCGTTAGTCAATCAAATAAGTCCCCCTAGAAACTTCATACATTGTGTAGTGTGATCGAAGGTACGTACGAACTAAATATACGCGTACGTCCTTTTTTTTATGTAAAATCTGCCTCCCTCTACTTTCTGACAACAGCACGTGGAGACATTGCCACTGGGGAGCGTTTTTAAACTGCTGCGTAAAAGGAAGAATTTACCGAGGCTAGTTTTTTGTTCTCGCATTCTCTGCTAAAACAACTACTACTACAACTGGGTTTGGCATATATTATTCGTCCATCTTTGTTAAGCATGGGTCTTTGAGCCACACTTGGAGTGTTCTTGGCTAGTGAGATCTTCGTGACTGCCTGTCTCACTCTTTGGCATAATGACACATGTTTCCGATCGAATTCAAATTGGGTCAGTTCGAAGGGGGCACACTACTTGCGACAAGCACCTCAGAGATACACCTCGCTATATGACATGGTCACCCGGGAATCATTCTCGTATTTAATGCAGTACTCTTCTTCTAAATTACACCAATGTCTTGCTATTCTTTTACAATCGCATTAAAAAAATATAAAGTCCCTGCAGCGAGGATGCAAATCACAGCTTACACCATTAGTTCGTCGGGGTGTTTAATTGCGTAGGACTTATGGAATTTTTCGCCAAAACATTCTTAGACGTGTTGAGCGTGGGCTTGAAATTTCAAAGTACGATTCTTCCGAAAAACAGACGTCTTTCAAGTTTTAAGCGTCCAAAGTTGGAATCACCTAGCCTATTTAAAACAATAGTACTTCTGTTGTGTTTAGTCGAAGTTTCTCGGTTAAGTTATGACCTGCTCAAAGCATCATTTTCAATATGATATCAAACGGCACCTACAGGCACAGTGACTCCGAGCTTTGATACCCTCCAACGCTTTTGAGATACCTTTTTTTTCGTAACACAATTCGCTTTTATTCTGTCTTCTCGTTGCGTTCTGTACAGTTTTCTGTTTTTTTTCTCCTAACTTTTACAAAAACATTTTATCTTTCACCTTCTAGGCTACATTGCCGACCGCACGCTCCGATACTCTGACCCATTTGGTATTTTTTCTTGTAATGACTTTTCTTTTATTAGTCTGGTTATCGGAACTCATTGCTCTCCCATGAAAAAATAATTTGCGGTTATAACAGCATCGTCGTCATCAAATAAGGTATATGTGCTACCATTAGAGAGCGAGAGGAGGCAGCTTTTGTATACAAAGCCGCACGCAGATATTTAGCTCGCGTGCGGAAAAATGTTCGAACAGTCACGATATTGCGCAAAATATCTGGATGGCCTTATTTAACAGGCCAATGGTTCTGTGCCTACAGTCATTCTTAACGGAAGTACGGAACGTAAATCCTGTATATATATATATATATATCTGTGTACAAACATCCGCGAGTACGATATATGCATACCTCTATGTTTGTGTCTGTCTGTCTCGATGTTATTCGGTGACAGGCAGTGGTGGACTTATCGACGTTCGAACAGCCCTCAGTAACCGTCGAGTGCGAAGGAAAAAACGACATTGGCGTTCAACGACTGCCTTGCGTGCTACAACTTTCCAAACGTAAGTGACTCCTTTTACTCCCACACCGCTGCTGCTACTGCTATAGTATGGCCGCTGCTAACGTTTCATAGATCGACGTCCGACGACTGATGCTGACGTGCGCTACCAGACGAAATGGCAGCGGTCGATCAATGGCTTCTTTTCTGTTTCTCTGGAACGTCGCCGCTATCTGCCGCCGCTTCCGTTCGCTCGTTTGCCATCGACTGCCGCTTCTATTATTACTACTACTACTACTACTACTGATAAACAGGCAGCGTCTCAGTGGGGCCGGCCAACAGAGTAGGTCCTGCTTGGTTGCCAAGGAGTCGTCCGTGTCGCAGCTGTTTCTGGCAGCTTCGCAGATACACTATGCGGCGCTGCAAAAGTGCCGGATCGCTTTTTCTTCAATCGTCACCCACCAGCGGCGAGGTCGCTTACTATCGTAAAGGGCAAACCGCGGAAGTCGGACCAGAAGCGGAAAATGAGAAAGCAGGGAGGTGACGTCTGTGGCGGCGGTGTTATGGTACAGCGTAAAAGACAAGAAAATCCCTTATGGCGAATATTGTAAAGTACTCCTAGGCTTAGCCCAAGTCGACATGTTGAATACTAACTTGGTGTTTCTTATTTGACCTCTTCTAAAACTGTATCAAATCTTATTGCTGTCGTTGTGCATGCAGCTATCTAGGTTGAGTCTATTATCGATGGATCCAATTTTGAGTTCACTGGTTGGTTCCATAGTTCCCTGCGTTTTTACGTGAATGTTGTTTCGCTGGTGTTATAGTTTATTGTACGTATATTTAGTTTATGCGGTGTACACAACCTGCGTATACGTCACTGTATACCATTCTTGTTGCGATTAATATCTGATGTACAGCCATGTTTCTCATGCCTCGTTATAGGTTATGATCTATACGACGGTGAGCTACGCGACTGTACCGTTTCGAGTCACGACGAGGTGATGTATTTTGATCGGCTCGTCGTTCAATGCCGCTTGCCACGAACACCACAAGCACCGAACCTTTACGTGATGGAAGTCTATACTGGTGATGATATGAGTCTCTTATTAAACGTCAGCTCAGGCAGTCCGCAGTTTATCATCGCATCACGCAGTTTTGGTTCGGCTGACCAGCTCGTGCTGCTGATTTACTCGGTAAATGCGGACACTAACGTCCGTTCACAGAGAACAGTCCGGCTTGCGATACAGACGAACCCCTATACAGCCCCGCTTGCTTCGATTGGTAAGTATCATCGACCTAGTAAATCGTCACAGAGGCCCAAACAGGCCAGAGGAGAGGGAGAAACGAACGACGTTACAAATAAACCGACAAACGAATGGTTGGCGAGGTTTGGCTAGTGGACTGAGAGAGTCCTGGCCGTTTGGTTGTAGGTCTATTTCGCTGTCCGAAAGCGAAAATCGCAAACGGTGAGTGGTTTGACGGTGGCATTGGTGGAGAAAAGTCGTAAACAAACGAATCACAGGCGCCTGTGTTAGCTTCCCTGGATGAAAAACGGGATCTATGATAATGGCAAAGTCGCCTGTGGCCACGAAAGGTCGCGGTAATCGTTGTCATTGTCGTTGGCTCTTGAGCATCATAGGAAATCGTAGATCCTGATGCCCGGCAAATCGCTAATGATGGCGTTAGTCTCGAGATGAGTGCGCCTGCTGTAGAAAAGGGTGTGCGGGTGTGTTGGGAAAGAAAATAGTAAATGACATAGTGGTATGTCACTATGAGGGTAAGGCTATTTCCTTCACTGCCCACCTCATTTATTTCACAGCTTGTTCGTTCATGTCTGTGAGTAACGGCTGTGTGGAGTTGCATGCTTAGCCGTTTTGTCTCATTCACTGTTTTTTTTTTCTTTCTTTTTTCCCATGTGGTACCGATGACGATGGGGCACGCGGATTCGTTCGACTACCACTCCGCACTGTCGCTGTGATTCCGCTGTTTGTATGCGTTTCAGAGTCCTCGGCGCCAGGTCTTTCAACGCACGACCTCATACTGGTGATGTGCCTCTCAGCAATGTTGGCTACGGCGCTCAAATGACGCCTTCGCAGATGCAGTTCGGGACAATGCCGTGGACGACAGCGTTCAAAACTAGGAACATTCGCTAGAAGCACTAGAGGCAAAGACCTCATCGGGGACGACGACAGTTCAGTCGATCACAAAACCGGCTCGAATAAATTTAACTTCGACGTTTCACACCACGCAACAACGGAACTCGTTGGTCTTGCCGACCCACAACAGATTCACCGTCACAGTCAGCAGTTGGCACTATTCGGCGCTGAGGTTAGCGTTGCTTTGCGACCTTCTCAGACCCTAACGCTGTGTGGTGGTCCACTTGATCAGATTTATTCGGGCAGTCGTTCGCTCGTTAATAAGAGCTCTGTTGGAAGTCAACAGGATCAGCAGGCCATGGAAACGGGTACGACATCGACAACAGCCTCTCTTGAAACAGACGTAGGTGCACCGGTTTATGGAGAGGTGTACTTCCTACGCATGAGCGGAGGTGACAATAGTGTTGTAAAGACAATAAAAACAACAACTCAGTGTATCGTTCGACAACAAGGTGTACAACAACCTCTAATGACAACAGGCCGCAACAATTTATTGTGACAATGGACCTCACAGTTGCTTCTAGCGAGTAAAGTTACTACCACTACACCTTCGACTGACGTGAAATCTTACAATTGCGATAGCGTTTTCGTCAGCCACGCCCGTAGCAACCCCGTAGAGATAACAGCAAAAACAAGAAAATACGTGACTGCTGCAGCGGTAATAGCCATCAAAGGTGGCCTCGATCAACAAAGCGAGTGCGACGACGCCAACAAAAACTGCTATTGCGCTCACTATATCTATTTTTTTTCGCTAACGAGACCGGCATCTTCGTGGTCATACCACCTGCTGGAAAAAACAGTTTCGCATATTAGTTACATGGTATTATTGCGGGCGCAAGCGGATATTGTTAATACTCCGTCAACCATTTATTAAACAGTAGCAAATGTCACGCTAACTTTCCTGAAGCTCTCAATATCTGCTCTGGGGATAAGTTTTCTCTAGCAGTGGGCAAATCTGGCTATCACTCCACTGCTGCCGATATATGGCGATTCTGATCCACGAACCCAGTAGCTGGGCGATTTCGACAAACGATAAAATTCATTCGTTCCCTTTTTTGAAGACTTCAACTGACATCGGGAAACAAGCACCTTTCTAGGGCAACCCATCAGGACGACCGGTGAATAGATCTCCCTAGAAAGCATAAACGGCCCAGTCTAGCTATGAAGCTACGTTGCTCGTTGCCGCTGCGGCGAGAGAGAAGAGGTGTAAATCACAGCGAGCTAGCTCTCAATGCGAAGAATAGATATAGACAGAAATTTAGGTACACCCTTTTCTACAAGGTCATAGTGTGAGCATTAGCTACGGAACGTGGCGCGTGACAATGACATAAACGGTAATAACAAACAAAACGACATACTGTAAATAAACACACGTATTCGGACTGAATATTGGTGGCTCACTCAAAGACCCACTGATGCCGGTCCGTTAGAATATAAAAGAAAGAGATCGAAAAAGATTTAGCTAAGAAAGATTTTTGCATGTGAATATGTTTGTCCGTGTGTGCGCGTACGTTTGCACAAAAGCTGGTTGTAGCGAAACTGATATTAAAAACTAATTGCGTTAAGTTGAGACTTGGGGAGGTTTATGGATCGGTTTTGGACTCACTCGCTACAGCGTTGTATCTGCGAATGTACAACAACTGTTCTAGCAGTAGTCTTGATGGCGTAATATGTGTATGAATGACAATTATCTTTAGGGACAAAGCGTGGACTATTCAGACTTCCTGACTGCATCTTCAAGGAGAACCGTGTGCTGAAAAATCAACAAAACAACAAAAATCAAGCAAGTGATGGGGGAAACGACTTCGAACATTTGAGGTAGAACAGATCTAGGTTAGGAAAATGCAGAAGAAAATATTCACCCATACAAAACACTTACGACACAATACAGCAGATTTGTAAAATCCGCAACGATATATAGATTTCAGCACGCGGATAGTTAACACTCATCAATTGAACTCACAGCCATAATGCTACGCATGCACTTCAGTCAGACATACATGAAACTATACAAACGTCTTTAACGAAGTATCTCTGTAAGTATCACAAAATAACTATACCAAACCTGTTTGTACAGAAACACAAGTGGAAAAAGGAAAGGTAATAGTTAACAAAAAGTCGTAACTATTTTGTAAATAAATCAATCGAACAATGTGTATTTCGTCAATGTGGCTGACTTCTTCGTTTAGCTTGAACAAGGTAATATTGTTTATGTAATAATGCAATAACTCTGCAATTTTTGAAGAAAAATAACCATATCGGCTCTCTTTAGAGATTTGATTATTTTAAAGGTATGTAAATGGTCTTTACGTGGTAACTTTCCTAATTTTTTTTCAACTTAATTACTGTGACACAAGTGTTACGATGGTAAAACACAGGTTACATATTATTACTTTACCATTATTTGTGCATGGTGAAATGGTAATAGAATGCATGGTGTAATAGCACACCTCTAGGTTGACAATTACTGGAAAAGGAAGATGTTAGACATTGCTATTGGACGGACTGACAAGATAGATTGAGTCACAAAACGCGTTAGGATCTTCAGTTAACCTGAGACATATATTAATACCAAACTAACATTTTCTCCGAAATGCAAAGACATTGCGGAAACTAAGAAAACCAATATAGTTTTAGCATAAGGATTAAAAAAATCTGGTATATCGTAATAGATAATTACATACGATAATTACTTCATACAAATGGCTAGTTTGCATGATCAACATGCGCTCATAGGCAGGTAAATCGTGCAGGCTAAGCATTGCCCGTATATAAAGAAAACACCTACCGCGATCCATAAAACAATCAAGTCCCATTCGTAGAAGTGTTGCTAGACAGCTTACTGTCGTATTTTAGATAATATATATTGAGTATAATTATGGCAATTGATCAGCTACTGAGAAAAGTTCATCGCCACAAATGGCCTGTTACGGTAGCCTTTTACGCTAAACCGCCCTCGATGCAGTTGCTGGTGTAAGCAGTTTTTTTTAGAATTCACAGGAAATAACTAATAGAATGTAGCCACGTTAAATCACGTTACGATGAGCCGTTGTTGATGCGTTGAAGTTCAATTTTCGTTGGGATACAGATGAACGGCGCTTGCTGGAAGCTTCTTTGAGTATAAATAACATTTTTCATTACATGTTTACGAAACAGAGCGATAGACCGATACGTTACTATTTAGATAGAAGGAAATATGGGCCAAGCATCACTTTTAGGCACTTTTTCCCAAAATTCCTATCTGCGGAATAGGAAGCCTTTGTTAACATTACTTCAGTGAAGCGTACCTCTAGTAAGCTAATTATGCAAAGAACACTTCCGATAGTAGAACGGTTCCCGAATCAGAACATGTTTGGGTTGGTCACTTTGGTCAAATATCTTTATTGTAGAAATCATATATCGGCAGCAGAGAATGACATAAGCTATGCTGATTCAGATGTTGCTTTGACAATAACGAATACTTTTACCCTGTAAGATTACCTCTTTTCTTACCTTAAGCACACTGTGCACGCTCAATATGCCATATATATAAGTCTAGGAGCAGAATGTCGTTTTTCATTTGAATGAATTTCTCGTTGGTCAAGTACAAATTCAATTGCATCATGTTTATGAGGTTATCGTGTGGTGGCGATATAGTACAAGGTTAAAGTCGAACCTTTTGTTGCGAGGAGTGACGTGTCACGGAACATTCATCGATTGGGTTTCTCCGAATTCTAGTTCTGCTTATTTTTTTAAAAACTCTGGTGTTCCCTTTCTTAAAAATGCGATTGAGCGTATTCCATTTGTTTGCGCTATTAAGGTGCATTAGCAAAACCAAAACTATGGAAATCTATTGTGCATTTAATGTTGCAGCGTCAATCATCGGCTGTACTGTGGTGCGGCCGCAACATGATTTACTTAGTCTAGCTTTTGCTTCGCTTAAACGACGGAGCGAGAAACGAGGGAACAGAGGTTACCGTCTTCGTTAATGTCGCTGCCGTTGTGGACTTCGAGGGTATCGGGCACTGCATAGCATCGCTCTCGGGTTTGGATGTCGTGGCGCAGTTACTTTGACGGATCTTCCCTCGTCATCCCGGACAAAATGATGACGTGAGCGATGGTAACAACGAACGATAACAACAAAAACCACTAGTACTGCAGCAGCACAAGTAGCCCCATTGCGTTTTATGTTGACCGCTAGTTCTGGCCGGCTGAATAAAAAAGGGTGCCCACAAGGCGTATACAATGCTTAGTATTCGTTTTCGTTCCGCATACCCAAAACCTGCAGATTTGCGGCCTGTCATCCGGACGGAACCGAGTAGTATGTTTGCACGACCTCTTGAAGTGTCCCCTCTCGCAATCTTCCATTTGTAACTATCATTGATGATATTGCTGCTTGTCCTTTTCATTTCGTGCCTTCTAAAACTGCTCGGGCCGCTGGCGAGCAATGGAGTCCGCTTTTCGTCACCCTACCTTCGTGTCCCGGTTTGCTGCGAGTTTCGAAAAGCCTGCTAAAACCCCTCGACCTACCGCCCCTGCAGATGCCCGCTGGCAGCCAAACAGGCTTTTCAAGCCGGAACTCGTGGCCGAATGGCGCGGCTGGATTGAGGATCTGGTACGAGAATTCGCTCCAGTCGAACGCTGCCCACAGTTGCCATGCTAATATGGCTCTCCTGATGACGCCTCCCAGTATCACAGCAATGCATTGGGTAGCACCTTCATTACTCTTACGACGAGGCCTTAAGACGCGGAACAGCCTGCTCTGTGGGGAACGTTGTTGTAATTATAGGGCAAGACCCGGTCCCGTATGTGCTCTTTCCTTGGGGGACGATAATGGCATCTTTCTAAAGTGTGAAAATGCCTTTGCATCGTATGCTTCCACTGTTATCGTGTGTGTTGTTGCTGCTTTTGTTAATGGCGTCACTCTGAGTCTCTGCGGTTTGTGATGCTCGTTTATGATTGCGCTATTCTATG